TCTTGTATGAAGTGATAACGAATGTCAATGTGTTTGCTTCGACCATGAAACACAGGATTTTTCATCAATGCGATTGCTGACTTGTTATCGAAATATAAGGTGATAGGCATAATATGATGTCCCGTGAGCTCCTTCACGAGATTAGCAAGCCAAATGGCTTGACATGCTGCTGTTGTAGCTGCCATGAACTCGGCTTCACACGTGGACAAAGCAACAGTCTTTTGCTTTTGGGATTGCCAAGTTATCGCATTCCTTCCCAGATAGAAAATCATTTCACTTGTGCTCTTGCTATCAACAGGGTCACCTCCAAGATCACTATCGGTAAAACCAACCAAATCTTCAATTTCACGACCTCTTCCATAGTTGATTCCATAATCAACGGTTCCTTTTACGTATCGCAAGATGTGTTTCACAACTTGGAAATGCAAAGTGGTTGGTTCCTCCATGAAACGACTTGCAATTCCAACCGAAAATGACAGGTCTGGTCGAGTGTGAGTCAAGTACCTTAAACAACCTACCACTCGCCTATATTCAGTTGGATCAACTTTTTCACCATCTCCATCCTTCTTGACCTTCAACTTAGGTTCCATTGGTGACGTTGTCGGATTGCAATCTAGCAACCCAAATTGCTCTAAAATCTTCTTTGCATAAGCCGTTTGTCGCAAAGATATTCCCCACTTCTTTTGCGAAACTTCGATTCCAAGGTAGTAAGAAAGTAATCCCAAGTCACTCATTTCGAATTCTTTCTTCATTTGTTCTTTGAATTCGACAACATCATTAGTGTTCGACCCGGTAATGATCAAGTCATCAACATAGACACCAACAATAAGAATTTTGTCTTTTGAGTTCCTTTTGTAAACAGCTGGGTCTTGTGAACTTTTTGTAAAACCAAGCCTTTTTAAGCTTTTATCCAAACGAATGTTCCAAGCTCGAGGAGCTTGTCGTAAACCATAAAGAGCTTTTGAGAGTTTTAGCACCTTGTGACTATGTACTTTGTCAACGAATCCTTCTGGTTGACTTACATAGACCTCCTCTTCAAGATCACCATTAAGGAAAGCCTCTTTGACATCGAGATGGTGGACAACCCACCCATGTTGAGCTGCTAAGGCAAGAATGAGCCTTATCGTGTCAAGTCGTGCTACCGGTGCAAAAACTTCATCAAAATCAATTCCTTGCTTTTGTATGTAACCTTTTGCGACAAGTCGAGCTTTGTGTTTTACCACATTTCCAAGATTGTCTTTTTTCACTTTAAAGACCCATTTCAAACCGATTGCTTTGTGTCCGGGTGGCAAATCGGTAAGTTGCCATGTCTTGTTCTTCTCGATTGCATCCAACTCTGTTTGCATAGCCTCTTGCCATGCCTTAGAGGTTATCGCCTCTTTAAAATTCAAGGGTTGATCCGCTGCAATCATCAACAATTCTCCGGGTTCAAGGAACATATTTTCGGTTTCAGAATAAATATCGGTTAACGGACGCAATCCCCTTGGCCCAATCTCACTAGAAGGGCTTTCCATATGGGGCGAGGTTGAAGAAAACGGGGCTGAGACAGGAGTATGTGGAGCTGGTTCAGGCTCGTCAAATTCAGCATATAGTTGTCCAACTTGGATAGCATCGATTCCTGGACTGTTTGGTTGTTCCAGATTGATTTCGGGGTCATTTTGAGGTGTTTCGAGGTGTATTTGGGGTTGTGGTTCAATTATGTTAAAGGTCTTAGGAGTCGCCATCTCTTCTTCTTTGTTTTTGTACCAATTCCATTCTTCTTTTTCGTCAAAAACAACATCGCGACTAACTCGCAACTTTCGGTCTTGCGGATCAAACAAACGGTTGCCTTTAGTTCCATCTTCCACACCTAAATACACCATCTTCTTACTTCGATCATCAAGCTTCTTCAGGTGACCACCTACAAGTTTAGCAAAAGCAACACAACCAAAAACTTTTAGATGTTCAAGGTTGGGCTTTTTGCCAAACCACGTTTCATAAGGCGTCTTGTCGGGAAGTACTTTTGTTGGCAGGCGGTTGAGAAGATAAACTGCATGTCTAACCGCTTCTCCCCAAAACTCTCCCGGAACATTTCTACCTTTGAGCAGACTTCTTGCCATGTCCATAACGGTCCGATTTCGCCTTTCTACAACTCCGTTCTGTTGAGGCGAATATGGTGTCGTAAGATGCCTTTGAATACCATTTTCTTCACAAAATAATGAGAATTCTTTTGAAGTGAACTCTCCCCCTCGGTCCGTTCGAAGTGTCTTTATTTGATAACCCGAATTCTTTTCAACCATCAACTTGAACCGTTTGAAAGCGCTCAAGGCTTGAGACTTCTCCGATAGCATGTAAACCCACATCCACCGGCTAAAATCGTCTACTAAAAGGAGAAAATATTACTCCCTCCAACAGACGTAGGTGTGATCGGACCACATAAGTCCGCATGAACAAGTTGTAGAGGTTTTTGAGCTCGAAAAACTGCATGATCCGGGAAAGGAATTCGGGTTTGTTTGGAAAGAACGCACCCTTCACATACTTGGTTTGGGTGCTCAATCTTTGGGACTCCGATTGCCATATTCTTTTCGGACAACTTCTTTAAGGCGAGAAAGTTAACATGACCGAGTCTAGAATGTCATATCCAAGCTGGTTCGTCTTTTGTTGCTAAAAGACAAGTCGGTCTACCGGTCCTTAAAGGAGTTTTATATAACCGGCTTGGGGATCGTTTAACTCTCAAAAGTACAGTTTTGTTTCTGTCAAACAATGTCAGATCCGACCCATCCATTATGACCCGACTCCCTTCCTCCGTCATTTGTCCAAGACTAATAATATTGTTTTTTAGACTTGGAATGAAATATACCTCATTAAGGAGTCTTTGGTCGCCATTTTTGCTATCGAATAAAATCGACCCTTTTCCCAAAATAGCGACGGTCGAACCATCCCCAAATTTCACATGGCCCGTAACGTGCTCATCTAGTTCGCGAAACTTTGAGCGGTCTCCAGTCATGTGTTTGCTAGCACCGTTGTCGAGATACCATACCTCAGACTCGACTCGACTTTCTCCCGATATACAAGAAGATTAACACAAATCTTCTCTTTTAGAGACACTTTTTTTGTGTGCATATTCTTGTGAGGTTGCCATCATTAAAATAGGCTCTTCTTCATTGGCTTGAGTGAGGTTTGCCTCCTCACCTCGATTCTTGTTTGGACACTCCGAAGCATAATGACCAAATTGTTCACAAGTAAAAACATTTGATTTTACTTTTATCCTTTCGAGAAGGATTATGGTCATTCCGATTTGTATTGTACTCACGACCACCTCCTTGGCCACGTCCACGACCTCGGCCTCGTCCCCGGCCTCGGTTACCATGTCCTCCTCGTCCTCTTGAAGTGTTTGACGAGTTTCTCTCGCCAGTTTGCTTCGAACGAGATGCCCACTCGGCATGTGTAAGCAATAGATAAGGTCCTTTTTCTTTTTCTCCATAGCTTTGAAGTCTCTCTTCATGGGTCTTAAGACGACCCACAACTTCTTCCACCGTCATATTCTTCAAATCTCCGAATTGCTCGATCGATGTTACGATTTGTATAAATCGTATCGGTACGGCTCGCAAAAACTTCTTCACAACCGTAATTTCTTCAATCTTTTCACCTAGAGATCGAATACCGGTTACGATAGTATTCAATCTCATGGAAAAATCATCTACCGATTCACTGTCTTTCATCCGGATCACCTCGAAGTCACTTCTCAAGGTTTGAGCTTTAGCCTCCTTGACCCGATCGGCTCCCATGTGCATCATCTTGAGCGTTTCCCATGCTTCTTTAGCTGTGTCCTTCTCAGCTAACATCAGAAGTACGTCCTCTGGAATTGCTTGATATATAGCCGCAAGAGCCATCCGATCTTTACGTTCGTCCGTTTCTGCATTTTTAATTACATCCCATACTCCTTGTGCTTGTAAATTCACTTGCATTTTTATGGCCCACACCGCGTAGTTCATCTTCGTGAGCATTGGATAGTGTAACGTAACGCTACCGTCTTTCCCGGTCCTTTGAAAACTTTCAACTCCGGCTTGAGAAGATGACGAGGTTGGTGTAGTCATTCTTGGCATATACTTGGGCATACACGAGTAAGAATATTTTTTTTTGAAGTACGGGGACCAATATGAACTTTTCAGAAGTTCAGGGGGCAAACAGAACTTTTACAGAAGTAAAACAGGGGCTAAATTGAAATTTTTCTGAAAAACGGGACCAAAATTGTAATTTTTCTGAAAAACAGGGGCTAAATTGCACTTTCCGGAAGAACAGGGGCTAAACTGCAATTTCCAGAACTTTGGTCAGCTGCTGACGTCACTGCTGAGGTCACTGCTACAGTGCTGCTACAGCACCTGCTACAGTGTCGTCTTCTCCGGCGAACCCTGGTTTTTCCGGCGACTTTTTCGGCAGATTTGACCAACTTTGACCGGTGATTTGCAGGCCTTCCGGTGGTCAAAAAATTTAAAAAAAATATATTTTCGGAATCCTCAGAACGAGACCTTTCCAACGGTGTACTCCGAAATTGTTTTTGAGACAAAAAAAGTTCGACCAAAAAACAGAGAATGCTTCCCCCGGAGCTTAACCAAGCTCTGATACCACTTGTTGGGGTTGAAACACACTTTTATTCAGAACTAGAACAAAAGAGAAGAGCTTACACGCTCAATATTACAAGAAAAAGAAACAACCCTCTAATACTCACTCTAAATATTACACACTACACTCTCTGTTTGTGGTGTCTTACAACTGAGGTTAGAGCCTCTATTTATACTTAAACAAGCCTACAATTACTACTGCTACCATTTATTGTGTTCATTATGTGAACATACGAAGTTGCCATTTGAGTTCTTATTGTCAACAAAGGAGGCATTCATTTGTCAACAAAAGAGGGTGGTACAGCTACTCATGGCAGGTTCACACCCAAGTAGGTTTACACTCACAGAATCACCATAATAATAGCCTTGAAAGTATTGTAGTATTGCATCATATCTCCATCAATAACGTTGTATACCACTTTCATATTTGGTTTCATCAACTTCTTCTATCCTCTCTTTCACTGTTTTCACTGGCGACTCTATATATTTTGTAGTAATTAAATATGTTAGATATGAACACCAAAAAGGGTTAGCTTGGGAATTTACTCCTGAATTATATTGTTCATACCTTCAGCAAAGTGAATCACACGGACAGTTCCCACGCTCTGTCCATCGCCTTCAAGAACTTCAACGTTTTTGTAGAGACCAGAGCAAACTTTAGGAAAGATGGTCGCAGAGTTCATAATGCTATTCCAGAACTTATCTGCGGTAGATTGCACCTTCACTTCAACATCAAGCTTCCCTATGGTGGTCATTGCAGAAGAAGATTGCAGTTTTGGAACAGTCAAAGTCAAAGGTCAGAAGTCAAATAAGATTGGAGGTTAAAATAGGAAGATGAGTGAAAAGTTCATTGAAGGTTTGGTTATATAGTGATAGATGGGGTTAAAATGTTAAATTCAAGGTTTAAAGTTGGATAAGGGTAGCTGGTATTGCATTAAGTGTGGCTGCAATTTATGGGGCAAAATACCCATATTTATTCTTGTTTTTCATAGTTAACAAGTAGAGGCAATAATAACTTAAAAGACGGTGACAACAGCAACACATCGGGTTCGTTTTAGGATGTGTTTGGGATTTCTATTTTAACTTAAATGTTCTTTTATAAAATGACTTTTTATATAAGAACTTTTTCTAAAACGATGTCTTTAAAATGTGTTTGGCTTGATTTTTAAGACTTTTTATGACTTTAAAAAAAACTTATTTTTTCTCATGGCAAAAAGTTGATTTAAAAAAAACTTTTCTACTTCACCAAATGTCTTTTGGATTTTTTTTCACTTTTTGGAAAAGTTAAAAAATCCAAAAGTTATTTTAAAAGGAATGTCAAACACCATCTTAGTTTTAAGAAAAAGTTTTGTTCTACAATACAAATTTCTACTTTTTAGCCAAAAAAAAAAAAAAAAAAAAAGAAGGTTCAAATCCAAATTCTAAATCAAGTAGGTTTAACAAAAAAAACTATTTTATATTTTCTAAATTTGTTTAATTACACTTTTTAAAAATCAATGACGCATTTTAGATAAGTTTTTTTTACGTAATTTTACATGTTTATTATATATAAATTAAAGCTACAACTTCCACCTTCTATCTTCTAGCGTCTAGCTCCTAGCTTTTATATTTTACCAGTTTCCAGCTACCGGTCTCCAACTAGTTTTGCTTCACACGCACACAATGTCATTACCTTTTAGAACATGAAAGAAATCGCATCAATCGTGAGTTGCCGAATGGCCATAACCACTCTAAGCTAACTCCATCAACATATGGTTTCTACTAACTAGCTAACCGACAAAACTGCAAAAATGGTTTTTGTGTTTTTTCATTTTACGTGGCTAAGGTCCAAACCTTTAAAAAGTAATAGATTTTGCATTTTCAACAAGTTTTTTTTTATGGTTTTTGTCCCTCTTCCATTAAATTTAACAGCGTAGTAGTTACTTTTTTTAAAATGACTATTTTATCCTCAGAGACCATTTCTGCAACCAAACTACAATGACCATTTCTACATATCTTATTTTTATTTTTATTGAATTATTATATATTAATAAATATTATTTTTAATATATACTATTTATATATTAATAAATATTATTTTATTATATTATTAATTTCTTTTAATTAAAAGTTTTTAATTTCTTTATTATCAGATATTTTAATTGGACTATTATATATGAATAAATATTGATTTTAATATATAATATTTATATATATTAATACATATTATTATATTTGATTATTAATTTATTTTAGTTAGTTTTGTTTATTGGAATAATACTTTTTATTGGATTATTATATATTAATAAATATTATATTTAATTTATAATGTTTATATCCTAATAAATATTTCATTATCATATTATTATTTTCTTTTAGTTAATTTTTTAAATTCCTTTTTTTTATCAATTCTTTTTTATTGGAATATTACTTTTAATTCATTATTTTCTTTATATAATAAATATTATTTATTATATTATTAATTTATTTTTTGTATAATATTAATTCTTTTTAATTTTATTAGTTCCACCACAAAGTTGTTGGAATACGCAAAAGCACTGCCTCTCATCAAACAAAATCGTCTGGATCATCGTCAAACACCTTCATTGGTGGTCCGGCGTAAACCCTACTAACTTTTTCCACCCAAAGTTACCGGTAGCTACCTACGACAACCTCTTCACAATTCGTTGAATCCTCCATATCCTACATAATGTGTAACAAACTTCTATAAACATTAAAAGTTGTGGTGATTGTGATCGGGTGATGGTAGTTGTGTTATCGCATGTAACTACCGTCATCATTGGTTGGAAAAGGTTGGTGCGTTTCTGTCCGACCTCTAATGAAACTAAAAGGATGATGGTTGTCACCTACAATAATACGACTACCATCACCCAATCACCGCCATCACTTTTAACGTTTATAAGAGTTTGTTGCGCATTGTGTGGGATATGGAGGATTCCAGCGGATTGTGAAGTGGTTGTCGCAGGTGGCTACCGGTGATGTTGGGTGGAAAAAGTTAGTAAGGTTTACGTCGGACCTCCGATAAAGGTGTTTGACGATGATCCCGACGATTTTCATTGATGAGAGGCGACGCTTTTATGTATTCCGACAACTTTGTGGTGGAACTAATAAAATTAAAAAATAATTAATATTATACAATAAAAATTAATTAATAATATAATAAATAATATTTATTATATAAAGAAAACAATAAATTAAAAGTAATATTCCAATAAAAAGAATTAATCCAACCAAAATGAATGAAAAAAAAATTAACTAAAAAAATTAATAATATGATAATGTAATATTTATTAGGATATAAATATTATAAATTAAAAACAATAGTTATTAATATATAATAACCCAATAAAACAGAATTACTCCAATAAAAAAAATTAACAAAAATAAATTAATAACCCAATATAATAATATTTATTAATATATAAATATTATATATTAAAAATAGTATTTATTCATATATAATAGGAAAATTGTCAGAAAAGTCCCAATATTTTCAGAAAAGTTACACTTTAGTCCAAAATTTTATTTTTTGAACATAAAAGTCCCGATTACTTTATTTTGGCTAAAATTAACAAAAAAAAAATTATTTTTTTCTTTGAACAGATAATGACATATTATCGTGTAAAATCAAATAATCGGGACTTTTATGTTCAAAAAATAAAATTTAGGACTAAAGTGCAATATTTTCCGAAAATATTGGGACTTTTCTAACAATTTTCCTATATAATAACCCAATTTAAATATCAGATAACAAAGAAATTAAAAAAATTTAATTAAAAGAAATTAATAATCTAATAAAACAATATTTATTAATATATAAATAGTATATAATAAAAATAACTTTTATTAATATATAATAATTTTAATAAAAATAAAAAGAAGATATGTAGAAATGGTCTTTGTAGTTTGGTTGCAGAAACGGTCTCTAAGGGTAAAATAATCATTTTAAAAAAGTTAACAGCCAAGCTGTTGAAGTTAACGAAAGAGAGACCAAAACCACAACAATATTTATTGAAAATGACCAAATCTACAACTTTTTAAATATTTGGACCTTAGCCACATAAAATGAGAAACCACATGAATAATTTTTTACAATTTTGTCTAGCTAAGCTAACTACATATTGTGTGATAATTTATTATATCATTATAAAAGAAAAGATTGTCATATATATATATATATATATTATATATTATATATATATATATATATATATATATATATATAAAGGTTTTCTGCAAACCTAATAGTGACAACTAAAATTCATATGAGACATTATTTAGATCTTTAAAAAGCATATATTATATATAATTTTCTTCAAATAAGTAATCAACTAATGCTTCTGTCTACGTTCATTTACCATTACTCTTTATTGTTTAACTAATAATCGAGTATTTTATGTGAAAGGAAAAATGCAATTGTAAATCTTTCTTATGAAAAAATTGTATAATTGTGCCGATGAGTGTGCAAATAAAGGGCCCAACTACAGATGTCTAGAAGGCCATATTGAGACCAACTTTTAGCTCGAAATCCCATGTTTAACCTTATTTACCCTAATTTTTACTAAGTTTATTTCGTTTAACCTTAAAAATTACACAAAATCAAATACAAAACATATATGTTACACAATGATTACTCTATGTGGGTTGGCGAGTTGATGGGTCACAGGTTGGGTTGGTGGGTTGGCCGGTTAGAAAACATAAACTCAACCCAACCCAACCCATATAATATATGGGTTGGCGAGTTGGCGGGTCATGGGTTGGTGTGTTGGAAACCTCAACCCAACCCAACCCCATATAACCCGTTTAAGTATATGGGTTCGTGGGTTCACAAGTTAGTGGGTCGAACCCAACCCATATAACCCGTTTAAGAAATAAGCAACACATTTTCAAAAATGATGTTTTTTCAACATAAAGTTATAAAGTGATTAAAGCAATTCACATAAAAAAAAAGGTTTTCAACATAAATTCATAAAGTCATTAACATCCAAATAAAATTGAAAAATGAAAACATTTATACAAAGTGGATGTGTTCTTCGTGTGTGACTTGTGACTATCTAAAAATGACGACATGTGTTTTTTTCCTTTTTGATTAGGGTACCGCATACGCAGACTAGCCACGTACGAATATGGAAGGAATACAATGATACGAAATATTACGAATACGGAAGGAAATTAGATTTCATTAATAATTAAATATATCTATTTTTTTAATGTAATATATATATATATATATATATATATATATATATATATATATATATATATATATATATATATATATATATATATATATACGAGTTGGAGAGTTGACCAGCGAACCCAAACAGGTAACCCAACCCATGAAATAAACAGGTTGGCAGGTTGACGGGTTGACGGATCAAAAATCTCAACCCTAACCCGTCTATTTTCGGGTTGGATCAGTGTCGGGTTATGGGTTGGGTCGAGAGTTGTCACTCCTATTTTTACATATTTTCGACTATTTCTAGTCTATAGGTGGAACACCTTTACTTGTGTATTTTATGGTGGTTTTCACATACAATTGAAGATATGTATGCAATTTGGCGACATTAAGGAATCTCTTGACAATATTTAGAAGCAAACGGAGCGGAAATAAAGAAGTTGGAAAAATGAAGATGAGCCTAAACAAGAGGTTTCATGTCACAACTAGCATTTTTAGCTAGGAAATTCGATTTTCATGTAAACATCATCTATTGTAAGGCATGTACTCTAAGTGAAAATCATACTCTATGCTTAA